ATGGTTGAGGCTGCCAGAAAAGCAGATAGCAGAACCTCATATCTCCCTCAACACCCGAAAAGGTTAAAAAAAAAAGGAGGTGAAGAAGAAGAAAAAAGACAAATTTAAATGTGTGGTGGTTCGACAATTGCCTGCTGGCCGGAAGGTCTAGGGTTCAAATCTGCATTGAGGATGACTTTTTTAAATCTTTTTTTTTTCAAGTGACCTTGACTCCCAGTGTGACCCTACCTAAAATTGGTAATAGGCAATGTCCTGGGAAATATCGGCAGCTTGCCGTCATATTGATCACATCACCCATTGAGTGCCGATTAATCAATCAATATTATTGATCTAGCACTGTATCCTTGATGTGTTAAAGGCACAAAAAGAATTGGGGGAAAAAACACACATTTAACTGTTTTTATTCTAGTTTGTGATTACTGTGATAGCCAATAACTACAGTTTGTGATTACTATGATACTCATACACTACCCTTGTATTTCTGGTCCTGCCTACACCACCCCCAACCTCCCCAGGCCCCCCCCCCTCTCCTTTTACGCCTTTTCCCCATTGTATAAGCACACATAAAAGCTCACATCCAACACCTTCTAAAATATTTAGAAAGTTTGTAAGTGGCAGACAAACGCCTACTTTTATCTTCTTTTTTTTTTGTCGCCTTTTAATTGTTGCAGTCCCAGAAGATGTTCGAATCATAGCTGTAGTGAAAAAATCCAAAATATTTACTGTACTGTATGTTGAATATCTAGTCAGATTTCTCAAGTATGCTGAGACTAAACTTTAAAGTTGTATAACATACCTTGTATTGTTTGTGACATACAGGCAGTGTCTGATGACACTTGATGCATTCTTGGGGTAGAAAGAGTAAAACCAATGGCCTGCCTATGTCATTCTTTCTGTATTTCTTGTCTCTATCTCTCTGTTTAGTCTATCTGATCTATTTGATCTGATCTGGTCTGTCTGTCTGTCTGTCTGTCTGTCTGTCTGTCTGTCTGTCTGTCTGTTGGTCTGTCTCGGTATCTCTCTCTTCCCCCTCCCTCTCCCCCAAGTGCCAAGTTTTATAAACAGACATGTTTTAACTGATTATTTGTGTACCCCTGCCAACATATTTTCAGACTTTTGTTGTAAGTTGGTGCCAAATTTGCCACTTTCTCATTTTCAAAAATCTGTTCTTTTGGATTTGTGTCATTTCAATCGCTTGACTTCTCTCTAGTTGTTCAAAACCGTACCTTAAATCTGTGTGATTGTTGTGAAACCACAGTGGTACCTCGGGTCACAGGCATCTCTAAATTCCATGAACACAAATTCCTAACACATTTTGACCCAACCTGCAAACAGTACCTCACTGCCCGAATGCACAAACATGGATTTGACACCATGTTTTTGACCACAAAAATGCATCAGTTGTACTCAAGTTTGCAGACTGTGAACATTATGTTGTTCTTGATACTTTTTTTGAAGGTTTTTCTTCTTGTTTTCATTAAATTAACCCCCATTAGGGCTCCCATGAAAGTGAAAAGTGACAGTGGTGTAAAGAAACCAAAGCTTATTACAGTAGAAATGAAGAAGGAAATAACTAAACTTTAGAATGATGTTCGTGTTTCTGAATTCGCCAAGCAGTACAACATGGCTAAATCTATGATCTGTACTATATTTAAGAATAAAGATGCGCCAACAATGACTGGTGTGGCTAAAGGAGCGAATATGTTAACGAAGCAAAGATCTCATGTGTTAGAAGAACATTATTGTTAATTTAGATTACTGAAAAGCATGCTTGCTGAATGAAGATAGCAGTCTTCCTCCTTCTCTCCATCCTCTACCATCTAACTCTGGCAGCAACTATCAGCCACAAAGATAAAGTTATACTTTATATGTTACTTTTGCCACTATAAATTGTGCTTTGTTTTATATTTATGTAATTCTGTAGTAACGCACCTGATGAAATACAACTAAATATGCCTGACAATAAATTGTGCAGTATATTGTTTGTGTCCGCATCATTTAAATTCATTAGGAAAAAACGTGTTGAACATATTAAATCCATTTAAAAAAATCATATACAGCCACATACAAGCCATATATATTTCTGGGGTGAGCATGAAGATTAATTGCATTAACTTCAATAGGAAATATTGTTTCGATTCCTGAACGGGGTTTAAAGAAGAATGAAGTTAGTGACCTGAGAGATTACTGTAGAGCACTGTGCACTAGGCTTCAGCAGTGTATTACAGGAACAGAAGTCTTTTTAGTTTAAAGAGGCTCACACACACACTAAATGCATTGCTGGTAATGTTAAATCATCTAATGACAAGTTGTAAAAACAGAAGCGGCAAAAATTTGTCATCTACACAAAGTGAAATAAACAGTATAACATTATTTTTTTTCCATTTAAGAGAGTAGGGGGCATGATTTGCATATGGTGGCTGCTTGAAAGATATAAACAAACAAACAAAACTGGGTTGTCTGAAGTTGTTGCTGGCTCTTTTCTGTCTTTTTGGATGATAGTGGTCAACCGTGCTGTAAAGAGGCAGGAGAGTCACAGCCCATGGTGATACCTATTAACTCTTTCAGTCCCCGGGGGGTTAATCATCAGAGGAGGCCCAAGGGGTGCTAGAGAGAAAAACATGCAATCAGTGCATCTTGCATTCGGTGGGCTTCTAGGCAGGAACCGATGAAGGTATGATGTGTTCCTTGGGACTGAAAAAGTTAAGGCCTGGAATGAAGTTCTTGTCTAAAGCGCAAAGCCTGGGCAGTACTGAAGACACAGTGTGTATTGTCTGTAATAATAATACTAATAGAAGCATTAAATCCCATTGATGACGCAGAAGGTTGAACAGGAGCGTTCTTGACTCACTGACTCTCAGATTTAAAAAAAAAAGATATCTCAGTGAATATATGGTAGCTTCTTGTTCTCTCCTTTGTATCCATTCAAATTATAGACATCAAGTAACTTACTCTAAACTCTACAGTTCATAGCTATTTCATGCTGTCTGCTCTAGTCAAGCCATAATATTCATTCCTGTTTCCAGCTCTCTTCATGGGTGTTTTGTTTACTGTTAATCTCTTTTGCTTTATATTTGCAGTGTTTCTTCCTTTCTATCTTTGTTGGCTTAGTAATTTTTGTTTTTCTTTCAGACTTGTCCATAGCTGGTTGTTTTTGTGTGTCTCAAGCTTTATACGAAATGAAGGTATCTGAGACCATTCCTCATAGGTTGCCTCTTATGACATGCTTGTTAATTAAGAAGCTGCTACTCTTTGCATAAGACTCCCCCCCCCCCCCTCCACTTCACCCTTTATCATCTAAATTTGTTTATTTAATAGGAGTCATATGCCACTGTTATCGTGGAAATATCAGCCAAAATATTGACCTCCAATTTTTTTTTCAAGTAACAAAACGGTCTATGCTTTGCAACAGTGTCGTCATTAGTCAAGTTTCCAGCTTCACTGCAGAAGGGTCGCTCCATAACTATCCTTTACTGTCCCATCAGAAAACTAATGAAAAACTGTCCTAGCCAAGTCTTCAAGCTTGCACATGTAACGTAAAAAAATTTAAGGCAGCTGTCAGATGTGCCAGCACTGATGGTCCTACATCAGAATTGCAACTGACTGTTAAGGCATATGGTCAGTCACTGAAACCGGCATTGCACCTGCAAAAGTACATGCCATTTTAAACGTAACTGGCCGCCAGCCATTTTAGGGCAGTCTACAACATGCAGATAAACAGAAAAACAAACAAACACATTTCACATGAAATCCACAGCTCACAGTGTAACACCAAGCACTCAGCTCAGTAGCTGACCTATGGTTAGATGGTGTAGTGTAGTGGCATTAACCGGATGGATCATCAGTAGAGTTTTAATAATTGGAAGAAGGTTGTAAATTAGTATAGGTTTGTTAATTAAAATAGGGTTGTAAAATGTAGTTGTTAATTAGAAGAAATGCAACATAACAACATGCCATAGAAGTTAGGTGTTCAAAATACGAGTATATAATCTCTTTTCTGCAGATTCTCTCTTTATATTTATTTGTGTTTGAATAACTCTCCTGTAAATATCTTTTCAAACTATTTTAATTATTTGCTTCCGAAGTGGAATTTGCATTTCATATCTTCTTTAAACTAAACCTGTTATGCTTTCCAAATAATGTAACCTGTGGTGGCAGATTTAATGGAAAGGTTATATTAATCATATTCATTTACTTGAAATGTTGTGTGTTGTCTTTTAATTTCTGTATTTTGTGGATAACGGGCACATAATCTCTAATAAGCTAAGTACGAAAGTGTATTGTTATAACAACATTTATAATATAATTGAACACTTATATTATACATATTTTATTCAAATGATTATCCTTTTCTTTAAAAAAGAAAAAATTTATTTGCAAGAATTTTCCAAAATAAATTGTAAATAATTCATTTTGTGCAGTGTCAGGAAGCTTACTTCTGCAGACATCATGCAACCAAGTAAGCTGAAACTTAATAGCTGTCAAATGGGTTAAAGTAACAGCAGAAATAGAATACTAATGATAATGGCTTATGGCAGATACATTTATGACTAGTACATATGTCAGTGAAAGTAGGATAGTAGAAGTTGAAGAGCAGTACTGATCTCATTTTTTTATCCAAACGTTGAAACATTTTTGTGTGTGTAAATTTTTTCCTGTGTGGTTTCTGGGGCCCCCTGAAATCTCTGCCTCCCCAGTAGGCATGTCCTAGGAGTCGACTAATCGGAGTCTTTCTTCAAAGTCAGAGTGCATCTGCCAGAGCATCAAGGAACAATCAGCTGCACACAAATAAGCCAGTAAAACGCATGTACACTCAAAATTCAGACCATGGTACAAAGCCATAGTCCAAATGGATGAACAACCAGGACTTTCCACAGAAGCTTACAGCCGGTGAACAAAGAAGAAGAAGAAGCAGTCACAGTTTATTTTCTAAAATGTGTGTCTTATATTTCTTAAGCACTCATCTTTATGATGGAGATATTTTTATATATTTTTTCCAGCAATGTGCCTGGAGAAGCGAGTATTCTATCGCCTGATTTCTGGTTTGCATACCAGCATCAACATCCACCTGTGTGACAAATATCTCTTCCCTGGTCAGTGTCATTAGTGTCTAGTGGATCAATGTTTGTGAAATATCAGTCAGACTCATCAAGTAAGGTAAAGGACTCATTTTAAGCACGGTCGGATCAGATATATTGGCTAGGCTCAGAATTGTGTAACTCTTTGAGTCCCAAGAAACGCATCATACGTTCATAGATTCCTACCTACAAGCCCAGTGAACGCATGATGCGCCGATTTCATGTCTCTTTTGACTACCCTTGGGCCTGTGATGCTAAACCCCCTGGGATTCAAAGAGTTAATACACCAGTCAGCACAGTGTAGGTGATGTGGCCACTGTAGGTGAAGTGGTCGCTGTAGGTGATGTGGTTGCTGTAGGTGATGTTGTCACTGTGGGTGATGTGGTCACTGTAGGTGATGTGGTCACTGTAGGTGATGTGGTCGCTGTAGGTGATGTGGTCGCTGTAGATGATGTGATCGCTGTAGATGATGTGATCGCTGTAGGTGATGTGATCGCTGTAGATGATGTGGTCGCTGTAGATGATGTGGTCGCTGTAGATGATGTGATCGCTGTAGATGATGTGATCGCTGTAGGTGATGTGGCCACTGTAGGTGATAAGGTCACTGTAGATGATGTGGTCACTGTAGGTGATGTGGTCGCTGTAGATGATGTGATCGCTGTAGATGATGTGGTCGCTGTAGGTGACGTGGTCACTGTAGGTGATGTGGTCACTGTAGGTGATGTGGTCGCTGTAGAGGATGTGGTCGCTGTAGATGATGTGGTCCCTGTAGGTGATGTGGTCGCTGTAGATGATGTGGTCACTGTAGGTGATGTGGTCACTGTAGGTGATGTGGTCACTGTAGATGATGTGGTCACTGTAGATGATGTGGTCACTGTAGATGATGTGGTCACTGTAGGTGATGTGGTCACTGTAGGTGATGTGGTCCCTGTAGGTGATGTGGTCCCTGTAGATGATGTGGTCCCTGTAGGTGATGTGGTCCCTGTAGATGATGTGGTCCCTGTAGGTGATGTGGTCCCTATAGATGATGTGGTCCCTGTAGGTGATGTGGTCCCTGTAGGTGATGTGGTCACTGTAGGTGATGTGGTCACTGTAGATGATGTGGTCACTGTAGATGATGTGGTCACTGTAGATGATGTGGTCCCTGTAGGTGATGTGGTCCCTGTAGATGATGTGGTCACTGTAGATGATGTGGTCCCTGTAGGTGATGTGGTCCCTGTAGGTGATGTGGTCACTGTAGATGATGTGGTCCCTGTAGATGATGTGGTCCCTGTAGGTGATGTGGTCCCTGTAGATGATGTGGTCCCTGTAGGTGATGTGGTCACTGTAGATGATGTGGTCCCTGTAGGTGATGTGGTCACTGTAGGTGATGTGGTCACTGTAGATGATGTGGTCACTGTAGATGATGTGGTCCCTGTAGGTGATGTGGTCCCTGTAGATGATGTGGTCACTGTAGATGATGTGGTCCCTGTAGGTGATGTGGTCCCTGTAGGTGATGTGGTCACTGTAGATGATGTGGTCCACCTCACTCCAGGGGCCTTTACTTTCCAGGACATTCTTCTTTTCCTGTCCTTTATCTCCCATTGGAACATATGCCCTCAACTAACTTACGCACAGTCATCCTATCCGGTAAAGTGTGGAGTAAGGGCAGGATATATTTTAGCATCACTCCTGTTTATCACCTGCATGGACAGTACAAGCAAGGATGTAAAGCCCATTAAGAAAATGATTACTAACTTCAACAAACTACTCTGTGCTGATGAACAGGACTTTTTGGGGAATTGCAGCAATGACATTACAACAAATTTCACATTCATGAATGAATGAAGCATGTAAAACAGATAACGTAGTCCCTACACTGAAGTAATGTCAATTATAAGAAAGAAGAAGAACTTAAATATATCAGTAGAATGTAAAGACATCTTCTTCATCTTCTTCGCGTTCACCAGCTGTACACTCTGGCAGAAAGTTCTGGTTGATCGTCCACTACTGAACTGCACTCCTGCTCCAGAACCTGAGTGTTGCGTGTGCATCCGTTTTACAGATCTCATTCTCTTGAATACAGACTGTTGGTTCCTTGCTTCTCCGGCAGATGCACTCCGACTTCAAAGGAAGCTCCCCAATTAGTTGACTCTTGCGACATGCTTTTGGGGAGGCAGTGGGTCTATTCTTGTTTTCCCCACAATAGGGCCCTGGAACCCACACGGGGGAGATAAAGACATCTGAGTTAGGAACAACATTAACTGGAGATGGCAAATTGGATACAGAAATTTAACTTCTGATGCAGTTAAGTAAAGCAAGTATTGGGACAAGCCCAGCTCTTACGGCATAAGGCAATCCCACTCAACACAAAGATACATCTCATACAAAGCATATTCATTCCTAGCTTATGCTATCAGTGCCAGGCATGGTCACTCACAAAAACCAGAAAAGCAGATTAGTAACTGTGGAAATTAGATGCCCGAGAAAGGCTGCCGGGGTGACCTGTGGAGATAAAATCAGGAATGGGGGAATAAGAGAAAATGACTGCACAGAACCTGTTCTCAATTACTCACAAAGACAGCAGATAAAACCTTTTGCCCACTTAGAGAGATCAGGGAGCTGCCATGGTGTAGTGGCTATATGCTTACCTCTGGATCGGAAGGTCATGGGTTTCGGGTCCTGACAGAACCGGACTTATAAAAAAAAATTTCTGTGGCTCTCAGTTCGACCCAGCCTTCAATGAATACCAGGTTTAGTCCTGGAAGTAAAGGCGGCCAGCATGATGTTGACTATATCACCCACCGAGTGTTAATTGGTCTATAAAATACAGATCTAGCCCTATATGCCCACACACCTGAATTCACGGAAAAGGATCCTATAATTTACTTAAAAAGATAACCTTGTGATGCCATACTATACAAGGCGTACTCAGGAGAGGAATGTAGAGTGAGGTGGAAAGATAACATCACAGAAATTTGACAGCAGCAAATGTGTCTTTATGGTCTAGGGGGCCAGAAGAGCAGTATACAGAATCTTATATCTCATTCAACACTGGAAGTGGTAAAAGCGGAAGTGAAAAAGAAAAAGAAGCTATATTAAGTGCACATTTAAAATTCTGGTAAGACAGTATGTGGCCAGTGCAGAGCCTTTTGTTTTCCTTGAAAAAAAAAACATTTAAAGAAAACATTCTTCTTCTGCCCTTTATTACTCATTGGAGCATAGGCTCTCAACCAATCCACACAATCTTTCCTTTGCTATCGCTTGCGTCTCACCCGAAGTCCCCCCTATTTTGAGTAAAGTTGAACCCCACTAGGACCACATACTGAGTGAGTAGCACATGGTGAATCAAAGAGTCACTGTTCAAATGAGAACCAATGTACAAATCCCAGAAACCCCGTTCACTGAGCCGCCAACGGTTACTATATAACCTGAAGTCCGGACAGGGTAGCTTGCTTCCCTTTTTTTTGTTTGTTTCACTCTTCCCTTCTCCATGTGTTTTTTTTTACTGTGCCTATTATAAAGAAATTCAAGTTGTAGTGTTGTCTGGTTTTCTCAATGTCTTTTCTTCTAGAATATGTTATGCCCAACACTTCCCAACCCAGCAGAAGTATCTGCTGCTAGATTGTCTACCTTTGCCTTTTTTGTGTGTTATATGATACGAGAAAACCTTAGTACATCGTGATGGTAGGAATGTTGGGGGGGGGGGGGGGGGGGGGGGAGACAAGAGACAGAGAATATGCTGGACAGCTTGTCATTATGGCATGGAAGATCATCTGTGTCAGAATTAATTGAAAGACAGACGTGGGTGTGAGTCTTGTCAGCACCAGATTTTTTTCAAAAACAACCTTGGCTTCCAGGTCGACCCAGTCTTAAATGGGTACCAGGTGGAGTCCTGGGAAGTAAAGGCAGCCAGTGTGATGTTGACTTCATCACCCACCGAGTGCCGATTGGTTTAAGAAATAAGGTCTAGCCCTATATGCTCAATAAGCCTGACGGCGGGGAAAGGGTTCTTTGCTTTACTTATATGAGACAGAAGGTTGTGGAAAGCTACCAGTGCCACACGGGAGGGACTGAAAGAAGAAAGGGTTGTTTTCTGCACCACTAGTTGGGAATTGATGCATGAGAAACTGGATGTCATCAAGACTCTTTGGGAGTGAATGAACAATGTGGAAGCAGGAATAAATCATTAGGTTCTGGAGAGAATGGAGCAGCTGGGCAGGGACCAGGGGATCTAATGCATGAGAAACTAGATGCCATCAAGACTCTTTGGGAGTGAATGAACAATGTGGAAGCAGGGATGAATCATTAGGTTCTGGAGAGAATGGAGCAGCTGGGAAGTGACCTGTGGATCTGACCAACACTCAGCACTCAGAGAAGGATAAGAATGACATATAATAAAACTGCTGCTGGTAGCATCAGAATTGGAACTCTGTACTGGTTGCTGATGATTGGGATGGTGTGTTTATGGGAATGATCTAAGTACCGTGGTGTCAGTTCTTAACTATTTAGGTTGATTATGTCTCTAGTCCCAGTGTACACTTACTGTGGAGATCAAGGTTTATGGAGATTCAGCCTGTGCTCTAAGCCAGATATGTCTTTTATAAAAAGAAATAAACTCGCTATTTAGTTTATTATTTTAACAAGTCATTTAATAAATATTTTGTTTTAATCTGCAGCTAAAAATGGTTTTGGTTCTGGTGCGTGGGACCACAACTTGGAGGAGTTCCAGTCCAAGATTTGACCCAGAGCTGACTAACGGACAAGGGCCCCAGAGATTGAAGAATCTATATTTTACATATCTTGTTGAGCTGCGGGCAGTAGCTAAAGCCGTTCCTTACCTTTCTCGGGTAGGGTATATACTTCTACCATGTCATATTTTATTTTGCTATGATACTGCATCCTGTCTCGGAAGGTGAAATATTTTGGTCATATCAAGCGCCACGAGGGATTGGGAAAAATAATAGCAGAAGGCATGGTACCAAGAAGGAGAGGCAGGGGCCAACCAACAAGATAGGCACAGGTATATAAGTGGCTTCTTGAGTATGAAAGTGCATGAGACGGGAGAGCTGGCGAGAGAGAAGTTTCTTTCAGGTAGACTGTGATGAGAGCAACAGTTCTGCAAAGAACCTTCTACATAATGATGTTGATTGCAGTTTGGAGGAAAATAACAGTCAAGGACTCTGGTCATACCTTGGCGCATCGGGCATTCAGTGGTAGATCTATATTTTGTATAGACCAGTCAGCACTCAAGGAGGGGCGTGGTCAGAATGACAGTTACTTCCTTTACTTTCCACGGCACGTTATTTTGTACCCATTTTAGACTGGGTCAACCTGGAAGCCAAGGTCAGTTTAAAAAAAAAAATCCACCTCTTCTTCTCCTCCTTCCTCAAAAGGGTGTGTGGTGTATTGTGTGGTGGTTTTACAGCAAGGGTGTGATAATATGTGCATCAATCCACCACATCCAGTTTTGACTCTCCCCTGTTTAGTCACCTTTTATTACATACTTGGTTGTTGGGCGGCAGGGAATTGGTTTTACTACCTCCCGCATGGGGCCCCAGAACCCACACAGGGAAATGCTTGTGAAAGTGTTTCATGTGGTTTCCCCTTTGTTTGGATTGGTAGTTGTTTTTTGTGTGTGACTTCTTTAGTTATTTCTTTAGAATGAAGTCTCCATTTTTGTAATATGTTTATTATGTGCTTTTCACAGGAAAACTTCTATACTGGGGATCCAACAGAAGATGCTGACTTGAAGCAAGGTGTCCTCAGCCTTCTTGATGTCATTAAGTAAGTCATCATTAGAAGATTAAAGACTGCTTAATTTCTTCTGATTCTTTTAAGGGTGGTTGGCACATTGTGTTATGTTTTACAACTAGGCTGTGATATCTGCACCGTCTAAGCAAACTCCTAATTAGTTGCTCCTGAAGACAGGTTTTTATATAGAGCAGCGGGTCGGGTCCCTGACCCCCCCCCCCCCCCCCCACCTACCCCCAGAACACACACTTGAACATTTAGTTTCTGTACCTTCTCTGTCAGCGTTCTTAGCTTATTGGTTATGAGCTAGGTTTATAACTCTAAAATACCTTGTTCCGTTCAGATGCAGGCAGTTTAGCAACCGACCACATTGTGTTGATTCGACAGTGTAACATAGAATCTTTCTGAAAGCAAGGGCAAAATTCTGAATGTAAAAACTGCCTAGTAGAACCACACAGCCAGCAAAAGCTGGGGGCTGTTTTGTAGATATAAAACTAACCCAGCCTGCGCTGTATTAAAAGGGACCCTTTTTCACGACTTTTGGGTATATAGGGCTGGACCTATATTTTATAGACCAATGGAACAAGATGGGTGATGTGGTTAGCATCACGCCGGCCGCCTTTACTTCCCAGGACTACACCTGGTACCCACTCAAGGCTGGGCCGACCTGGGAACCAGTGTCATGTTTGTAAAAAGTCTGGCTCCACCAGGGAGCGAACCCATGACCTGCCGATCTGCAGGCAAGTGTCTAGCCGCTACATCATGGCGACTCCATGCTCCTTATTAGAAGTGCCAAAAATAGGCCAAGCTAAATAATGCTCCACTTATTTGTGTGTGCCTGCACACATCTTATATTCTGCCCTTTTGGCCTTACTGCTTATGTACATTAGTCCATTCATACATTATTTACCAGATAATAGTAAACACCATTTAAGTCTTAGTTACAAATACTGGAATGTGCTCTGATTATACCTACAGTTCTAAACAGTAGTAATACTATGTATAGTAATTGTAATAGATCTTAGGGAAATATGCTTATGCTTAGAGTACTATCCTTTGAAGGGGGCTTGTAGACTCTTCTGGGCCTGGAGGGGAAAAGTTGAGGTGAACTCTGCAGCATTCCCCATGGAGAGGGAACTTTGATAATAAAGGTGAAATATAAACTCGACATCATCCTCAGTCCAACAGATGCAAGCCCTTTTTCAGGGCATAAACCTGAAGGCCCGTGGACATATTGATTTAAAACTCACAAGTCTTCCACACTCAGAACCATTCCATTAGCTTAGATTTGTTTGGTTGTCTTTACTGCTCCCTCAGTAAGTTCCCTTCCACGGCAGCACTAATTTCATGGTGTTTTATGCTTAACTGCAGATTATAGAGAAAATATTCAGTGCTTTGTAAGTCTGACTGCTTCATGTTTATGACATCCATTTTTTTTTTATTCAGATCATTCCCCGACCATTTTGACGAGAGCCAGCTGTTTAAAGGCAACACTCAGGAAATGAAGCAGTTGAAAGTAAGTGTTGACCGTAAGCAGCAGTTTTAAGAATGCATACTTAAAACAGATCAGTTTAAGCTGGGACAAGGGGAGCCACACCCACATGCATGTACACACACACTTATAAACAACACAACATGACCTGTTTTCAACTTTTCCCTCCAGTAAAGTTTTTATAAGTGTTGTTTTTTTTTTTTTTAATGTGTCCAAAATAATAAATAATTTATCTGTTCCTTGTTTTATTTCAGCAACTTTCTTTTCATATCTTGTATCTCCTGAATATTTGTTTTTGATTTCACCCTTTACCCTTTTTTCCCCCAAATGAAAAACAACCATTTCTTCAGGAAACCCACATATTCATGGTCTTTGCTAGTTCATTGTCCAGATTTCTGGGCCATTTAGCATTCAGGACAAGCTCCTGTTACCTCCATCTCCCTTTTCATTAGCCAATGAGGAGTCTCCATACTATTGGTACACAATGTTATCTGGTTAACTACTCATTTTGCTTCCCCTGAGTCTTAAGTGGCACCCAGAGCCCACAAACACACCCTGCTGCAACATTCTCTTCAAGTATGGGTTACCATTACCTTCCATTTTACTTATATCACCCCACCCTCCAGCAAGAGGCAACCTCTGGCTTGTGCAGTTGAACCTCTTCTTCTTCTTCTTTCGTTCACTTGAAATTGATTATCTATATCTGCAATGTTGTCTCTCATATGAACTTCATTGTCTTTTGTAATTCACCCAGCAACCCATAAAGTTTGACTTTCACCGATGTTCCTCTTGGCCGAAAGTTTTGCCTTGATATGCTGTGCAGTTGAACCTCTTCTTCTTCTTCTTCTTTTGATTATCTATATCTGCAATGTTGTCTCTCATATGAACTTCACTGTCTTTTGTAATTCACTCAGCAACCCATAAAGTTTGACTTTCACCGATGTTCCTCTTGGCCAAAAGTTTTGCCTTGATATGCTGTGCAGTTAAACTGAACACTTAGTTCTGAAAACATATCTGCAAATATTGTCTCCTTAGTGAACCTTTTATCAGGATCCACACTAATGGAGGGTGAATATAATTCTTCATTTTTTGCAGGCAGAGTTTGTATCACATTTCCGCAACATTTCTCGCATCATGGATTGCGTCGGCTGTGATAAGTGCAAACTTTGGGGCAAATTGCAGGTAACTATGTTTACTAACTTTACCTGTTTAGGTAGTCATTTTGGATAGTCAAAGAAATGTAAATGAATTATGTCATGTGTTGGAAAGGTACCAGCTGCTTTTAAAAAACCTGAACAGGATATGGGGCTCTAGATTATGTAGTTAACTCTTTAGTTACCCATTTAGGTAGTAATTTTGATAATCAAAGAAATACATAGGAAAACATTATGACACTGGTTGGCAGGGCACAAGACATCAGCATCTTGTAAAAATCTGAATAGAATTTGCATTTCTAAATGATATGGTTTTAAAACCAGCTTACTTATGTTTAATTCTAATGTTATTGAAATGTTAACTTATGCCAGTGAAAGCTGTTGAACCACTAAAGACATGAAACAAAAGTAATGTGCATTAAAACACAAACACCTGAGGGACCTGATAAACATTAAATGGGATGAATTCAAGAAAGATGAAGAAATAAGAGAAATGGGGGACTACCATTGATATCAACAGCTGTAAGACAAAGGCAGTGGCGATCTATTGAGCAGATCCTAAGAAGTGAGCAGAAAATAACCAGTCAGGTATTGAAGTGAGAAACAAATGAATTGAGGAAACAAGGTCTTCTAATGAAAAGCCCTAAAACAGAAATTAATGAGACAGACTGAAGGTGTCGGACTGAATTCCATTCATGATATCAAAAGGAATGGAGGAATAGACTGCAAGCCCTGTGTACCATAAAATGGCACATGATGATGATGATGATTACTAACTAATGCGTATTTATGGTAAATTAAGGTAATGGTAGTAAATCAGGGCATATGAAGTTAAAGGTTACACAATAATTCTCAGAATACTATAGATCAAAAAGAAACAGAGGTTCTTTTCGCGGAAAGTGACCCAAACATTGTTGTATTTGGACTATTTTATGGTACAGGAAATTCCGATATTACACACATGACAATGTCCAGAAAAGCAAACAAAGGGATGGAAAACGTAAACAGGAGACAACTCAGAAAGCTTTTCGAATAAACAGTACACCGGGACACCCCTGTAACCTTGAGCAACATTGACCAGCCTGACCAAGGAGCGGTGAAAAGTGAATGATGAAATGATAACATCACACCCCTCTTGTCGTAAGACTAGCCTGAGAACTTGTAAATGAAAGGTCAGTACTATAGTGTTTGGGCCACTTAACGCGAACAGAAATTCCTGACATTCTACAAGGGGGCTATTCAACAAAGTTTACTCAGAGATCTTCATAGATCAGAGGCCCTGACATAGAAATACAACACAGCTGATACATCGGCAAGCCTATTCCTAAGCTTTTGCTGGCGGGA